GATAGAAACACATTAGAATTCCTATTCTATATAATTACAGCGATGTGCAGGAGGTAGCTCACACCAGCTCACAATAGCCAATTTTGTACATGTCTTCCCTACTTCATGTTCAGTGACATCACCTTTTTAGCTTGAAATACTTTTATATATCAGGCCATGGTGGCAATATTTACACCACGGAAACTGGCAAACCATTGGCTATAAATCAGGACCTTTCTGTCTGGAGAGTCAATTGTTAAACATTTATCAGCACAGCACTGCATAATCTCTCTGAATCTCATTTTAATCACCCAGAAAATGATAATAATTATACCAAATTTGCAGAACTTAGAGTACTAAAGAAGCCAAATCAATAGAATGTTAATAATAAGAGATATTCTATAATAAGTGTCTAATATATGGCAAGCACTGGACTAGGCCATATGCGCATGTATAATCTCTAGTTCTAAGGCATAATAAAGTATATAAAAAGTCTGGTAAAATGTTTGACGATACCACAGACTTCACGATTAGCATTTATTATTATTAATGTACTAAACATAATTAAACATGAGGTTTCTGACACTTAATCTCAGAATAGCTATTTTTCTTTTATGCTTCTGAAATCTCAAAGCATCACTAATCATTAGAGAAAGACCACTGATAATGATGAACTTATTTCAATTTTTTTAATTTCATTTTTTTAGAGTTAGCTTTAGCAGAGCACAGAATAGGTAAATAATACAACTGAATTCATAATTTATGAGAAACTCTTTCCCTGGTAATTATAATAAAATCAGAAAAAAACGATTTCAACTTGGTTTCAAGTTAGACTTTCATTTCAATTTCAATACTGATCCAAAAATAATAATCAGAGGTTTATTGAAAATCAAAAGGAAACAAGCTTGCTCTGCAGTGTTTAAAACTATGCTGGAACATAGCAGGCATTCATTAAATATCTGTTTGATGAATTAATGTTCCTTAATTTACCTAATCTTCTGTGGTCTCACCACAGCACAACCTCTTCAGGAATTAAATCTTATTTATCTATATAAATAAGAACAGACCTGCAGGTGTAGCATCAAAATAAATTATTCCTGTTTAAATAAGTATCGTTCAATAGAATGTACACTATAGAAAGGTAATAATTTCATTAAAAATGGAAAAAATAGAGATTATCAAATTTCTGTTATTCTTTTTTCCACATTTATGTCCATTTCTATGAAAATAGAATCTACTGGTAGATGTAAAACAGAAAATTGACAATATTTTTGGTTGATGTAAAGATATTTTGAATCAATTACTAGTGATCTTATTAACTGTAGACTATTTTGTACTATAAATGGAATAGAGCAAATAAATTGAAGATAGATCACAGTATACACGACATACCTTGAATTGAAAGAATGTAATTTTTCTGTGCTTTTCCTTCCATATTGGATGCAATGCATGTATAGTTGCCACTGTCTGAACGCTGAGACCGGGCGATTTGGAGTTTACTACCTCCAGACAAAATATGAACTTCAAGTGAGTCAGAATTTTCTAGAAGTAGAAACAAAGCAAAAGAAAACATAAAAGAGCTTTTTTATTTTTAACATCTCTACAATTCACCAACAAGATGTCTTGCTTTATGTGATCAAAGTATTTCTTAAAAGTTCTCCCTTTGTGCTTTTATTTTAAATGAGGGCCTTTTTGAAAAGGAAAAGAATCCCTTTATAAAATGAATAATTATTTTACAAGTCTATCTTGTAAATTTATATTTCAGTATATTAAGCTTTCTTGAACTAAACACCGCTATGAGTGTGACACTAAAAAAGTGCTAGTTTATAAATCTGATGATTCAAGAGCAAAAGAAAACAACCACCACTGCGTTACCTATAGGCTTGTGGTTCTTTAACCATGCTACCGTGGGAGGGGGGATCCCGGTGGCATCACATGTTAAGGTCACAGGATTGCTGACAGTCTCCACAACCACTTCTTTTTCAGGCCCTTCAATACTGGGTGGCACTGTAAAAAACAGAAGAAAATCATGTGTCCTCATTAAACTAATTCAGGACACTTGCTTTCATTTGCATATCTGGGGGAAAAAGAGTTGTATTAGAGGCAGATGCTCACCATATACATTGAGGTGGAAATTTTTATCATCCCGTCCTGCTACATTTATAGCTCTACATACATACTGGCCTGTGTCAGATACCTAAAAGAAAAAGATACTATTGTATGTGCTCCATTAAGTTATAGATGACCAATCACACTGTTCCAGTGTAGATTAAATCATCAGTCATCTTTATGCTCAAATGCCCCGGTTCTAATTGCCTTCTGCAATCTTGCTGTTTATTTTTTTTTAGTGGAAATAAAGTCTGGCACTATGTGATTTTTAATAAAAATCATTTTTCACTGTGCTAAAGGGAATATGCAACTTCTACTTATCTCTTCCACAACACGACCCCTCCATGAAGTCATGACACTCAAACAAGAATAAAAGATGCACCTCAGCTTTCTGGATGTGCAGCATTTGTCCATCAGCTAAAATCTCCAAGTGAGTAGACTCTGCTATCATTCGCCCATTCTTATACCAAGTGACGACTGGAGGTGGGACAGCGTTTGACTCGCACTCCAATGACACTGAAGTTCCCTCTCTTACGTTAACTACAGAAAGAGATTCACTGCCATGATCTTTAATGCTCGGGGGCACTGAGGGAAGGAAATAAGAACAGAAGGAATTCTTTCCATTAAGGTGTTCAGATAGAAAATGTTGAATGTCAGTTTAAAATGAAAGAATTTTATGAGGAGAGTACAAACAAACCATAAACTGTCAGGGAAACCTTTTTCTTGCTTTCACCAGCTTGGTTGATAGCTATACAAGTGTATTCACCACCATCAGATACCTTAGCCCGGAGAATTTGTAGAGTTCGACCACCTGTGAGCAAATATAATGCAAATTGAAGACCGGTATACAGGTTGTTCTAAATAACCATTTTATCAATAAGATAAATGGCAAAATATGTCCTTTCCCTTAGAGTAACATTTATATAGAAATACCCATATTTAAAATAAAATAATTCAGTTTTCTTTGATCATTCCTTTATTATTGACCTACTTCCTTATAAAGGAAGAGATTCATAGACATTTTTCCTCCAGCAACGAAACATGGACAGCAAAATTATTTGATACAGTTTCTAGTGAGCAAATAGTAACTGTACTATAGTCAAAAATATGTTAGCATAGTCAGTCAAAAATATGTTAAGCATTTTCTGGGTTTAAATTTCCCACAGTGCAGAGGCGACTGACTATCTACCTACCCACCTACCTAATCTATCATCTGTCCTCAAGGGGCTTTAGAATTGATTAAAAACAACCAGTAGATTTATCCAATGAAAGTTCTATTGATCATCTACCACTCAAAATTACTAAGCCATTGTGTTCTGAAATTTCATGATTTGTTGAGGGAGACCTTGTTATTGTACATTCCCACTATAATCTTAAAAGTCTGTACAATCTTACCCTAAGGCACCAGATGGGTAAAGAGAGGCATTTACTGTGAACAAATAGATGAAGCAAGACAAAAATTTGGAAAGAGAATAAATCGAAATTCCATTTATATTTTAAAAAAAGGAAAATGAGAAAGTTTTGCCCACCTTACAATAATAATAAATCCCTTACCAGGAACAATAAGAGCATTTGTGTTTAGCTTGATAGGCTGTTCATTCTTCAGCCAGCTGAGATCAGGGGGTGGAAAACCAGAGACCTCGCAGGTCAAAGAGATGAAATTGTTCACCACAACAGTAAGATTTTCAGGGTTAGGACCAACGACACTTGGAGGAACTATAATAGTAAATAGATTAAAAGCGAAATTTGATGTTATCAGCAACATATATTCCAATTTACTAAATATACGTTCAACCACTGTACTCTGCTAATGCACTGAGTTCAACGTTCTGTCATTATTTATGTAGCTGTCTTTCTTCTTAGAATTCCCTGAAGCTTTCATCAAACTCATGTCCATTGAATTTATTTTTCCCAATTGAAAGAGTACCAGAATTTCCAAAGGCAGAATTATTCTTCATTTTATTTGTATAACATACTCAACAATTCCTAAGATGGTTTTGTTAATGTACAAAGAAAGACCTAATAGTGCTTTTTATAAAGTACATTCAAATAGTCTTGTTTTAAATATTATATACTTATTTAACGTTTTTCTTTTCCTATTATAGCAGAACAGAGGGGAAATTTAGTTTTGGGGTATCCGCCTTTCAGTAAATCATACAGATTATCCTGACATTGTAAATCAGCGATTTTCAAGATAAGCAGAAAATTTAAGAAAAAAAAAAACTATTGTTTATTGTTTAAAACAGAAAAAAATTCAAAAGGCAAAAGCAATGCAGAAAAAAGGTGGAGTAAAAAAAGACAAATAATGCAATGCCATGTATGCATATTAAAACACATACATATGGAATAATAGATGTTTTATAGGAACACATACGGAAGGAATAGTATCATATACATTTGAATGGTTTCCTATGAAGGTGGAAGGGAAACAGGATTGAGGAGTGGGCATAAAAACAAATGAATGAATGAATGGACTAATAAAAGTAGAGTGAGTCTTGGTCAGACCAATGGAGATAGTAAGACATGAACTAAAGAATGCAAGTAATAAAATGATCTATTATATTTACTCGTATTAAGGCTGAGATCTTAACATAAAAAACAAACGCAGAACATCAAAAAGGCAAAAATCACTATTTTCTTTTAATATCATATAGTTGTTTATTTTTATCCATTAATTAATTTTACTATTAATTAATTCATTCATTTATCAAACATTTATTGAATGCTTATTGTATTCTAGACATTGTGCTAGATGATGATGATGCAGTGTGAAAAATGCAATAGGCAAGAATCATATTTGTTAATAATTTGGCAGTAATGATGGATACTGAACTAAAAACAGCTAACAATATTTGAGTGGTTATGATGTGCCAGGCATTGTTCTAAACACTTCACGTATACTGTCTAATTGAACCCTCACACACCTTACGTTTTAGTACAGTTCTTATATTATAAATGAGAGAGTTGAGACATGTAGAGGTTAGCATCTTGCCTAAGGTTTCGCAGCTAGTTACTGGAGGTTTGGAAGCTAAGCAGTCTGGCTCTAGAACCTTTATTCTTAGCCACAGTTCTACACTGTCTTGTAATCACAAGGGTGATGAGTGTCAATCAGAAGAGGAGGGTGACAATAGGGAAGTAACCTAGTTTGGGGATAAAGAGAAGAAAGTGACATTTGAGAAGATACTTGAAATTATGACCAACAGTAAGCTAAGCTAAGGGGAAAACAGTCTCCCAGAAAGAAAGCATCGCATACACAAAGCCCCAAACAGTGGAAAGAACATGGTGTCTTAGAATGTGTGCTTTCACAATGATTATGCTTGTTTAATTAATTCATTCTTCCTGTGAATTCATAACACATGTGTTTCTGTTCTGGTCAGATTTATCCATTCAGAAACCCTCAAAGATAGTTATTAAGCACCTACAGTGTGTTATTGATTATGCTAAGCACTGGAAATATTATAGAAAGACTCTGTTACACAAACACCAAACATTTCTAGATAGCAATACTCCCTACATAGCACACCAAAAAAGAATATCCATTGTGCTACATAAAAGTCCTTTGAGGGGAGAAATTTTTCATGAGATTTCAAATTTTAGCTATTTCCAAAATGAGCTAGAATTTTATATATGTATTACTCACGTAAAGGAAACCTCTTATAATGATCGTCCACCATTTCAATTTAATATTCTGGAAGCAGCTGAACCTCACAAAATAAAAGTACTCTTTTGTAACAGATATCCAACTGCTTTTTGAGAAAAAAAAGTATTTATGGTGTGTCTAGCATGTACTGAGAACTTAAAGTTTGATGAATGAATTAGGTGTGCTAGTGTTTTTAAAGGAATTATTTAAATCCAAAAAGAGATTTTTCCTTCTCCAGGAAGTATATTAGGTCCTAGAGGATGTAGCACAACGTGAATCCTGCACTTGAGGACAGAAACTGGTTCCAATCAGTATCAGTGGATACATTTTTATGAGTAGAAGACCTATATTTGGCTCTAACTTTGTAAACTTGTAATCTTTAAAATTTTTAATTTGGATGTAAATTTCAAATATGTGAGAGCAACTATTTTCTCTTAAGGGACTGAAGTAATGTAAAAATGGGCTTACTAGAAGTTTCATACTTTATAAATTCTACTAGCCATAGTGGGAAGGAAGAAGAGAGAAGATTGAATGGGTGCAGGCTTCACACATCGTTCAAGTTAAAAATACGAAATGAGCCTACATAATCTAAAACACAGTTTCCCTGCTTGTTCAAGCACACCCTAACAGATGTTTTTGGAACTGAGCTCTTACCATGAACATTGAGGTTAAAATATTTTTTGGCACTTCCAGCTGTGTTCTCAGCCACACACACATACCTGCCGATATCTATTATTTGAGTATTCAGAATCTAAGGGAAAAATAAAAAAATTCCAACTGAAATTTTGAATAAAGCAAGTTGTCACATTTTTTATTATTTTTTAGAATAAACAATATATATATTCTTTCTAGTTAACAGCATATGGACACAAGAAAAAATTTTGAACATACCAGTGCTGATGTTCGCTTTTATTACGTCCATCAAATAAATACAGGTTTATAAAGATTTCCAACAAGAAAAGGCAATTTTATATATACTAGTATATATGACTGCAAAAATATCCCAAATTATTCTCCCATTTCCTTATCGATGTCTCTGGCAATGTGACTTTGAAGCTTCTCCCATCAGGAGGTGGAATGGGTGTTGGTTTTGTGACTGGCTTTGGCCAATAGAATGTGATGGAAGTGACTGCATCATTTCAAAACTGAGACCTGTGCACTTTTGCTCACTCTTTTGGAACCCTGTGACCACCATGTGAGGGAGCCAGGACTAGCCTGCCGGAGGGTGAGAGCTGACATGGGGCAGAATCAGCACAGTTACTGCAACCAAGGCCTGGGATATGTGTGAGAGCCCAGCCAAGATCAACAGGCACGTATTGAATCCACAGCTCCGTGCAGACACTTGAGTAAGCCCAGCTGAGACCAGAAGAATCAGCCAGCCAACAAGAAGACTTGTGAGCTAAATAAATGCTTATTCTTTCAAGTCATTATGTTTTGGAGTGGTTTGTTCTATGCAGCAATAGTTAGCTAGTACAGCGGTTATGTTTTATTTATTTTATTATGCAGAAATCTATACCCATCTATTTATATCCAGCTTTTGGACATGGACACAGAAATATTTAAGTATTTTGGTAGAGGTTGTATGATTATCAAGTAGAAATAGTCACAATATTTGGAGGATACTTTGAGAATTCAAGGTCATTTATAGGTAATGAACCTGATTCCTTTTTGTATAAAGAACTCCATGAGGTATGTTCTGTGTTGAAGACACTGACAGTTATGCTTAGATTCTTGGGCCAATAGAATATTATTTATTGTGCTTAAGTTATTTATCAATCATATCCTAACAAAGGAATTGGTGTTATTTCTACAAGTGCCTAACATTCTTTCAGGGACTTGGAAAGAAAAATACAGATATCCCATTGGCAAATGACAATCCAGGATATTAATATAGTTTCTATTATTATTTATTATTATCAACCTTTTGCCAATGTAGACAAATTTAATCTACAGGACACCTTATATCACTCAGAATTTTACCATCAGAAATATGCAATGAAAATGAAAAGGACTGTAATAATGATTTGCTTACAATATCTCTTTTATCACAAAGACCATATTGTAGTAAATTGAGAAGTGTGTGTATGTGTGTGAATGTATTCACAGCTGGAAGAATTCACACAAAATTGTTAATAGTGCTCTGGTAGAGGGAATAAAATAAGGATGGATTTTGTTTTATATGTCTTTGATACTTAGCTATCTTTACCAATAAAATATTTGTAAACTAATAAAATTATTTTTAAAAGGCAGAAAGATAATTACTACAAAATGCAAAGTCAAATAGCTATTTTAAGATTAGAGTTTTACTTTTACCTGCAGAATTCTTCCATTAGATAGAAATTTATGATGGTCGTCTTCTAGCAAGGGCTGTCCATCTTTCTGCCAGGAGTTCCTTGGTGCCGGGCTGCCGCTGGATAAACACTCCATCCGTGTGCTCTTGTTCACGAGCACAGTGACCTCTTCGGGGAGGTCACTATTTGCTCCCTTGATAATTGGTGGCACTAATAAATGATTACAACAAAGAGGTAATGACAGGCAATTAGGTCTTTTCTAAATTATCCTAGTTTTCTGACAGCTTAAAAAAGTTTGGGATGATAATAGACAAGCAAAACTGGAAGGAGAAACTAAGATTCTCAAGTAACATTTCACACGAATAAATTAAGGTGGTGAAAAGTATTTAAATTTGGATTTATCCTCCTTCCTCTCTTCACCTAGGCTGTACTAACTTAACCCCTCCAATAGAATCATGCCCACATGGCTCATTCCCAATTCTTCCCTAATATATCATCTCTTGCTTCTCTCTCAGCTCCTTCCACTACACCTTCTGGGTTTTCAAGCACACATATAAGAAGCACCTGCACAAATGAATATTTAAGTCTATTTGGTCATCTAGACAAGCCAGATAAATTACATCTTTTACAGTGTACTTGAAATGTTCAGATTTGGTCTTATTTGTAAGGGGATCATCTGGACTATTCAAAGTGTCTTCTTTCCCAGCCTTAGCATCAGTGGGATCAGCATCAGCTGGGAGCTTGTTTAGAAATGCAAATTCTTGGGTCCCAATCAGACCTTGCAACAGGCATTCTAAGGAGGGGCCAGGAAATCTATGTTTTACTTATTTTTATTTATCTTTGGGGGGGGTGTCTCATTACGTTTCCCAGGCTAGACTTGAACTCCTGGGCTCAAGTGATCCTCCCGCCTCAACCTCTCAAGTAGTTGGGATTACAGGTGTGCACCACTGCACCTGGCTTGAAATCTGTGTTTCAACAAGCTCTCTAGGTGATCCTTATGTATGCTAAAGTTTGAGAAGTCCTACTCTAGATTTTCCTATATATATTCATTCTCATTTAAAATATTACTGTAGAATCCAGGTTCATGTCAGTTATGAAAAAAATCACATATTACTCATAGAATTTTTAAAAATGGAAATGTTAAATGAACTAGGAACACATGTGTTGGCTGCTTTGGTAAATGTAGAGACTTATTTTTAAGTAAATAATCATCCTTTTGTTTTGAAAGCTTAGTTATTTTTCTTTTCCACTCTCTTAAAATATATTAATACCGTATCTTTAGCCATCAGTAAAGACTGTGTTTGATGTAGACGCAACCTTGTGGTATCTGGGTCTCCAACAACTAAACTGAAAGTCTGTCAAGAAAACAATCAATGCCACAAAGCACATAACAGAATTCAATGTTATTTTGAATGCATATTTTCATATTCAAAGTTACATGGCGATTTTTACCATACTTCAGGTAACATAAAATGGATAACTTGAATGCAGATTGGCAAATAATAAACTTGAGTTTCAAATTACATGAGGTATCACTACCCCACACCTGAAAACTAATCAATTGCTGAATCACAGGAGGTGCTAGGAGGTGCTAGGAGGTGCACGACAGGTCCAGGAACTGAGGCCTCCACCACAGCTCTTTGCTCTGACCTGCTCCTCTGGCTGCCACACCCCACCAGCTGGGTTACACCACTCAGAATTGTTCTTAGTGGCCCTCCCTACACCTAGGAGGTGAGCAGCAGATATTGTGAAACAGCCCTAGTTTAGCCAGGATTTGGGGGCCAGTTAATTTTTCTTGCTTTGTTTCCACCTTCCAACTCTAAATTCCTCTCGAACTTGCTTGCCAACTTCCTCCTAATTAAAAATAACAGCCTGGAGACATGAACATCTACCCTTGACCACCCAACACCATAGTTCCGTTTCAATTCAGCTGACTCCCACTCTTTCCCTAACTATCAACTCCTACTGCTCTCTCTAAACTAAACTCTTTCCGAACTTAGGTCCAATTCAGCCAGATGGTCTGGGATATTCCTTCGCCGTTCTTGAAAATATTACCACTGATTTTTAATTGTCTTCTCTCCCCCTTTCCTTGTAACTACATTATGGACTTTAAAATCTATGTTGATGACCCTTCCCACCCTAATTAACTGGCTCTGCTACTCCACTTCAGGTGTCCATAGCTGGTCATACCTTGGACCATTCAACATGAACTCCTCTTCTCTGCAAGTTTATGAGCTCCATGAGGAAAGACTGATGTCTACTATATTCACTGCTGTACCCTCAGTGCCCAGCACAGTGCCTGGCACATAGTGAGCAATCAACAGATATTTGTCAAATAAATAAATTTCGAACTTTAGTGCTCTCTCTTCCACCTCTTTTCAGGCTTCCTTCGTAAACTCCCCTTTGTTTGCACTGGTAACTCTAGCCCTTTGACTCCTCCCTGCCTACAGTCGGTCTGTCAGCCTCCTTCTAGGCTCATTTTTCCTCTTGCTCAGCCCAGATCTCATAGTGGGTCATTTTAGTCATACTCTAGCTCACTGCACACTCTCTGTTCTCTCACCCTCCAGTGCTTCAACAAAGTGTACTTTGTGGCAACCCCACCCCACCCTGGGTAAGCCACACCATCTATTTTTTTCTGTCTCTGCCTCCAGGTTACTGAGGGGGACTACAGAAAGCAATGACTGAACCCCATAGCTCCAACTCAACGCTGTCTATCGAAGCCCGATAGTGGCCATTGCTAACATTTTCTGTGTTCCATAGGCCCAAACCCCACTCCTGCTACTGTTTCTCTTACACTCATACTTAATGGGGAGGACTAAATACACTTAACATACATTCCCACATTTCCCTTGTTACTGTTCCAAAATCTCTCTTTCTCCATGAAAGGCTAACCTGTCTTGGTTCCTTGATTGCATTTTTCAAACGTTCTAGGACCTTTTTCTATCAATCCTGCACTCTGCCCACATCCACATACACACTTGAAATTTTAATTTGCCCCTTTCTGTTAAATTATTTCCTTCAATCTACAGGCAAGCTCAAATCTCTCTTCAATTTGTTTTTTTTTCCCAACAGGTTGTTTATCTTCAAACTCTCTTCCACCTCTTCCCTCCTCTGCAAAACGTCTTAAAAGTACTCTATGTATTTGCATCTTTACTTTCTGATTACTTGCTAAATATTTATCCTTTTGTCGCTTTGCACCACATCACAGTATCTAAATTGCTATTTTGAATTTCACCAATGACTTCTTAGTTTCAAAGTCAAATGACCTTTTCTCACTTTTTATTTTTCTAAAACTTGCTTTAGTATTAAATCCTAAAACCTACCTTTTGATAACCTTTTCTATGCCCTAAATTCTGGAACATGATAGTTTACTGGTTTTCATTAACTCTCCAGATTTTTTTTGGATATGACTTTGTTTTCTTTTCGTATCTCTTAATTGTAAATGATCCCCCAATGATCTTCTGTTGGCCTTCTCCTATTATATCTCTAATGCTTTCTGTTAGAAATCTCATGTCTTTGAATAGCACCTCTCAAATCTATATTCTTAGTTCAGTTCTTTCTCCTGTGATACAGTTCTTTCTCCTATGATTCTCCATGTTTCCAACTGCCCATTCAACATTTTAGCTAAGTATCCTGGAACCATGTCAAATTCAACATGTCTGAACAAAACTGACTTCCCAAATCGTGTTGTTTTCCTGGGTCTTCTATTTCTAATAATCTGGCTACCATGTTCTTAATCACCCAGGATAAAAACCTCAATGTCACCTTATACTCTGAGATGAGTGCCTGATACTTCATATCACTTAATCACTGCCTCTATCGAATCTTCCATACTGACTGCTTCTTATGCATTCCCCCTGCCACTTCTCTCGCTCAGCCTCTTCCAATGAAGTATCAATTTGCTTCTGCTTCTAGTAACATCCCTTGTCTTTCCCCACAAAGGAACAATATTTCTTCCATGTTCTGTCTATACATTCAGATGGAGATGGCTCTGGTCTGAGGGTGGCATATAAACTAGGCTGTATAAATTATTAAAGAACACTGTAACCTCTTGTTTCTGTGATTGGCTCAGGGATGGAAACGTGATTCACAATTGGCCAATTAAAACCACGGAAATTCAATTCCAGGAATTCAGTTGTAAATTATAGGAGAGAAAAGCTTTCACTTGGATGTGGAACTAAGAGGATGTAAGCCTACAGCTGCTGGGGGCCACCTGGCTATCCAAGGGGATAGAAAGTGTCATTAATGTCACCTGAGAGTGACATTAATGAAGAAAAACAAAGTTAAGAGAAAGAAAAAGTAAAGTCCACTTGACCTCTTCTAAGCCACAGAAGGCAGACATGACTGCAGCCAGCTTTACTCTGGGACTTTTCAGATTCACGAGTCAATGAACTCTCTCTTTTTGCTTTAAGCCAGTTTGTTATTTGATACTTCAAGAGTCCTGACTAATGTGCAGTCAATTAGTATAAGACAATTACCTCCTTGGGAGAACTATCAGTTTCTGATTATCTTTATAGTCTCTAAAGTGCTTCGTGTTAACATCTTGCAAACATTAGTTCCTCAAAAATATTTCTGAGTAAAAGAATGAATAATAAACAAAAGAAAACAAACTCACAGAGTACACGGACGTCATACTGCAGGGAATCTTCTCCAGCCTCGTTCGCAGCCACACATGTATACCTCCCAGCATCTTCTACCTTAGCCCGGGGGATCTGCAACACTCGCCCTCCTGCAAATATACCCCAATATGTTTACTCCTCTGAATCTTACAGTAAACGTACCATAAACAGATACAATTTTTCAGGTCTAATGATTTCCTTACATTTTCATTCAGAGTTCCTATTTCATCTAGTCATTCAGTTTTAATCTCACGTTAATAACAAACACTACATTATTAAAAAATGGTCTAATCAGATCTCCTGAGAAATGAATAGCTAGCTCATGTAGATTTTTCTAGAGGGGGAAATGCTCCTCTTTGCCCCTCATCATGTTCCACATGAAATGTTACTATGCAGTGACTGCTTGCTTTTGCAGTTTTAAACACTTTTAAGAAGTATTTATACCTTTTGTTGCAAGCACTTGTTTGAGAAAGTAATATCCAAAGATGTAAAAGTATAAAATTTACCATTATACATACAATCTTGAAAGAATAGCTGTATATTTTTAAACTTTTCATGTTGATATTTTAAATTTGGAGGAAAGTTATAACAATTGTATAAAAATTTTCACTCATGTTCACTAATTTTTTATATTCCACTTCGCTTGCTTTATCTTTCTCTGTGTCATATGTATATAATCTTATTCTGAACCATTTGAGAGTAAGTTGGAGAAACGGTGCCCTTTTACTCCTAAATACTCATAAATCTGTATTTCATAAGAACAAGGATAATCCCTTATATAACCACAGTACAATCATCAGAATCGAAAAATTTAAAATTAGGACAAAACTACTATTGAATCCACAGTCCATGTTCAAATTTCATTATATTGTGGTAATAATGTTTTTAATAGCCATTTTTCCCAAACCCAGATTCAATTTAGGATCACATATTACATATAGCTGCCATGTCTATGTCTCTTTTCAGTTTTTTTTTTTATTTTTTCAAGATATTCTTTTCCTTAATTGAGGTCAAACATACATACGTTATTTAATGCACTGACCTTAAATATACAACCTGATGAGTTTTGACAAGCCTGTATATTTAAACTCTTGCTAAAATTAACTAGAAGCCTTAAAAATATTCCACAATTTAAACATCTTTTCCATCAATAAACCATGTAATAACTAAAATACTTGAAACTAATAATCTTTACTGTTTATTTATGATAAATTCATTTAACAAACTGAATGGTGACTATTTGCTAACATATGTTAAAATTTATATTAATAATATACAGAAATCAAACTGATCACCTCATTGCACTAATACGGAAATGAAGGCATGAGAAAGCCAGAGGACTGTCTTAAGTTGATAGAGTGATGTTGTAGCAGATCTGAGAAACTGACTAAGGTGTTCTATTCTACTGTCACATGCTCAGTCCAGACTCTGCATTAGAGTAACTAGACTGAGGTACATGGATACCAGTGGCACCTGGCAGCCTGTGAGCTATATTACATGGCCAGAGAGCCAATCAATTCAATTGGTCTAATAAGTCAGAGGAAACACACTTGGCAGAGATTCAGACTTTTACCCTGTTTGTAGCAATCTTTACCTGGCAAAATCAATACTTTATCACTCGAGGTCAGAGGATGGCCATCTTTGTACCACGTCAGTGTAGGAGGAGGAGCAGCATTTGTCTCACAGTAAAGAGAAATGGGATTGTTGATGATCACATCTTTGGCTTCACCACTCCTGCCAGTATCTAGCATGTTTCCTATTTCCCAGAGTTTCTGAAAACTTGGAGGAACTATGGAGGAAAGGCATGAAATTTTGGTCACGTGTGAATGCCAGTGTCATCCATTAAGCAAGGATCTTGGCTGTATTTTCACAGGAGTGATTTGTAAATGTAATAAATTAGACAATGTGAAAATATCTTCAAGTACTCACACACCTACCAACTATAGCCCTTAGCCAAAAAAGACTGTAGTAGACAGAAGTTGGAGCTGGGTCTCACGTGGAAGAACAAAACATATGGGGCTCCAAATGCTATGCTTATGTTTTGCTCTCCCTGGGCTCTGACACTTAGACGATAAAGGGGCTCTCCCTGAGGGAGAAGCATGGCTAAGGAGTATGATCATAGCAGGAAAAATTAATTTTGAGGGACCATTAAAAAATACTGGCTCAATTTAGAGCATTTTCCCATGATTTGTCTTACTAAGAAGGCTAAAGAAGGTATGCAATTAGGATTAAAACTCCATTTGAGCCCAGGAGTTGAGGTCGCAATGAGTTACAATGACGCGACTGCACTCCACCCAGGGTCACCCAAAAAACTCCATTAACAAAAATAACAAAAGACATTCTCATACTTTTCTGGGGACAAATGGGGATAGATGTGAACTTTCTGGAAGGCAGTTTACCTTTCAAAAGCATTAAAATAGTCCATAATATTTGATCTCAAATTTCTACTCTCAGCAACTTATGAAAAATCAAAGATGTGCATATATACTATGTATAAAATTGTTCAGTGTAATATTATTTATGAGTAGTGAAAACTTGGAAACAACACAGACATTCAACAACAGGAGTCTGGTTACATTAATATTTGGATACTCAACTGATGAAACAGGCATAGTTATTAAAAATCATGTTGAATAGTTAGTAACAACAACATTAACCATATCGATAATAATAATAGCAGGCAGCATTTCTTAATCATTTTGCTAAGAGCTTTATATACTTTATCTCATTTAGTATTCATTGCAATTCTACAAGGCGTTAATTTTAAAAGTGAGGAAATGGAGACTTAAAATATTTAGGTAACTGTTCAAGTCACAGAACTTGTAGGAGCCATATCATCATTCAATTCCAAGTCTGACTACTCTGAATTTTGTACTTTACTATTTTCTTGGCTTCCATATAAATGCTATTAAAAACCTCAGTGATAAAATGTTAGAAGAATGCTAATGTAACAGAGAAGTCTGTATTATATGATCCCAATTTTATAAGTAAAGTACACATTTAAAAATATCAGAAGGAAACACATAAAAATAACAGTTAATCTTGAATGATGGATTTATTTTCTTCCTCTTTAATTGCTTGAGTCCAAGGTTTTAATAATGAATTTATATTATTATCAACAGGAAAAAACCCCACTATTTAACAAACAAACCTGTGTCCCATTGCTTAGATAGATCATATAAATTAAAGTATATACAATGAGCATATTAGTATTACCTTGTATATTCACATCAAAATCCAATTCATCTTCACCTGCAATGTTAGATGCTACACAAGTATATCGCCCGGTATCTGATATTTGAGTCTCCTTTATTTGAAGTGTGTGTCCATTCACAGCGATATTAACATGATCATCTGATTTAAGGGGCTGTGATTCAATTATGATAATGTTAGCATTAAGTACTATGATAAATCCTCTAAGAGGTCGTGCAATTGATAGTTTTTGTGATTCTTTAACAAACAAAAATAAAATTGTATGTAAAACATTGAAGACAACAATAGTTAATTTAATTTGGTTAAACTGATTGTTTTTAAGTAATCAAATCTTTATTTTTTGAAAATTATAGATGATATAGTTTATACTTGTGCCAGGTATTTGTGAGTCATGCATTTATACATTTTTTTATAATAAAAATATGTGCTTAGGTACCATATCCATTTGTCCATGTTGGAAAAAAATTTTATAGCTGATCTTACATAGTATTAAAAAGTATATTTCTATTTTATGATAATTGTGTAGAAAATGTTAAAATCTCTTTACGAAAGATTGAGGGCATTAGCACAATCTAAAATTACTATTGTTCATTCAGAAACATCATTACTTCATAAATGAAAATTTTTAGCCTAGAGATATTTATATTAGGGAGTTGTATTGAAATTTATGACTACACTTAATGGAACATTAATTTACAGATATTTGTATTAATGATGTTTTATTGGAAAAATTACCTATACTTATAAAATACAAATATAGAATACTTATAGAATCGTATTTCTCATCTTCTAAACATTTCCATTTATACTAAATTCTCCCTCATTCCTTGAAGGTTTTAGCTCCTGGCTCACTGTCATTCCTCCTAATGATACTTTCCTTCTCATAGTTCCTGGTGATTTCAATACAGAATCCAATGCTCTGTCCTCTCAGTTCCTTGACCTCCTCTCCTCTAATTCTCTTGTCCCCCACCCTTTCTCAGCCACTAAGTAGGACAGTCATACCTACCCCTTATAATTAACAATAACTGCACTACTTCATAATATTAGTTTCAAGTTCCCACTCTCCACCACCTCCTAACTCTGTAACCTATTTCCTCCAGCACACCAACTACAATAACTTTCGGACTCCATCAGAGGACCTGCAATCCATTGACCTTGCAGCCTTTTCACTGCTTCTCATTTTCCTGCTGAACTCAATTCCCTCCCCACCCAGAGAAGGTCTGCCGTGATAATCACACCTTGTATAAATCCTCAACTCCCCTGTCTGCTTTCCCTTTATTTTACTCCTGTGGAAAAACCCTAATACTGTTTAAAACCAGTCTGTGCATGCCCATTCTGAGAATCCTCTGGTCTACTCAAAGACATCCCTCCAGCAACTGCATCTTCTCTCACCTACATCATCATCCATTTATTTCTTTCCATTGGCCAGTTTCAATCTTAAACAAAGAAACAAACAAAAAACTATCATGCTGCAGCCTATCTCCACATTTTCTAATACCCTTTGTAGTGAAATGATTTAAAAACGTTTCCTACCCTTGCTATCTCCAATGTCTTTCCTTCCATCTTTTTTTAAATCTGCCTCCATTCAGACTCTCACCATTACTACTTGAGCAAAAAGACTCTGTCGATGTCCCCAAAGACATTCCGTTCACTGTTACATTTATTGGTAAACTCTAAAGTCTTTATTTCACCTTTCCAGTGTCATTTAACACAGTTTAACTTGCCTTCATTTGTATACACCTTTTTCCCCCTTATCTTTTGGGACACTACACTCCTTGCTCTCCCCAACCTTTAAATGCAGGAGTAACCCAGGGCTTAATTATTGGACTGCTTCTCTCTCTATCTAATCTCACCCTCCTAATAATCTCATGCAAAATCTTGGACTCATTCCTGACTCATCTCTTTCCTTCACACCCCACATCCTGCTACCACCTTGGTCCAAGCAACCACCATCTCTCTTTTGGATTAGGACCCTCTCTCTTTCTTCCTCAAGTACAGGAGCCAATGTAAACCTTTTAAAACCTTAAGTCAAATCATATCATATTCTTGGGTTCAATTTTCCAATTGGCTTCCCATCAGAACAAAGGCCAACTGGTCGAAGGCAGTATGTTCTTGCCTTCCATTAGTCTTCAGCTCTTATCTCCTGTGTCTCTCTTGATCACTGATCCCAGCCCCGGTGCTTCAGGACCTTTGTCCTTGTTATGCTTTCCACTTTGGAATTTCTCCTAAGTTGTCTTATGCCAGTTTCCTTCACTTTCTTTGGATTTCTGCTTAAATATCACCTTATCAGAGAGGCCTTCTCTTCCGTATTTAGATAAGAGATCACACTCCCTACAGTTGGTATTCCTCTCCTTGATTGAGTTTTCTCTATGACGCCTTACACCATCTGACACATTACATATTTTACTGGTTTATTCATGTAGTTTTTGTCTCTCCAAACTTCATTTGAGCAAAGGTATTTGTCTGTTTCTTTCACAGCTATATTCCCTGCACCTAAAACAGTGTCTGGCAAATAGTAGATGCTCAATAAATAATTCAGAATGCAACAAATCATTATTAACATTATATCACTTATATAAAAATAGCATCATTTAAATTTTCTATGCTAAAAGAAAAACTTCAGGATATCCATAAATAAAACTCAAGGATTGTATCAAAACTTATTGTGGCCAATACTGCCAATATTTTTTGTGTTTTTTCTCAAAAACACTGCTTTGCTTAAGTAGTGTTGCTTATCTGAAGACTGAAAAACAGGAGAATGAATATGGAAAATAAATTAAAAACAGCATTTTTTTTTGTTCACATTTGGGGACCAATTGCAAACCCTGAAAAATTTAGCAGTGTAAAGCATCTTAATTAAATCAGTTAAGTCTGGATTTGAAACTGTAATTTAACACATTGACTGCCACGCTAGAAAAAAAGTTTCTTTCCTTGGGGCCACTGTATTTTATTATGAAAATAGAATAGAAGCTTCAAAAACAAAATGATCCTTTCTAATTTAATGAAAAATTCTTTATTTTTTATTGTTTTCTATGAGTGAGTTATATGCAACTTGAAAAATATTGCTCACGGTTCCCAAGGTGAAGAGATATGTGAGTTACATATGCTTCATGAGGCCCCGGGCTAAAAACTAGTGTGAGTTAAAAACAACTCACATAGCAGTTAATGTGTTAACTACTCATAATGGAATGTTAAAAAACAAAATAACAGTGCCTCATTCCTAGTGCAATTCTAGTCATGATCCAGTTTTTATGTGTATATGTGTTTGTGTACGTGTGTGCATGTGTAGTAACTACAAGGAATGAAAGGGCTTTAGAGAAAATTAAAAATAAAATAATAATATGATTTCGAAGAGAAAGGAATTGTCTCCAAGTAGATTCATATAGAATTGATATTGTATCATGCTTATAGTCAGAAAAAAAAATCTATAAACAGAACATGGTGGGAGGTCTATATTTTTCCTTTAGCAATGGCTTCCAGATGAAACTTGCTTATTTTATAAGAGATGATTTTTTTTTTTAGCTGCCAGTATTGCAGAATCCATCTGGGATCTGAAAAAATAAAGCTATATTTTTCCTGCATCTTAAATCACGACTATGACCTGAACTACTACAACTGACCATTTGACTGATTATGTGTAAAATAGGACAAATGGCAGCTTAGTTATTTCGTATCTGTGTTGAGCACAGTGTTAATAGCAGCTAAAAATTCTATTTTGGTCTAAGATCAGCTGGACATGTCTTTAAAACATGCATGGAAGAACATAAGTTGAATGAGAAATATGGGTGTGGGGTCTGAAAGCCAGATCACAGAATTAAAGCATCTGCCTTTTATTTAAAGTTTCTCATTGCTCCCAGTTAACTGTATTGGGCCCTTCATCATTTCTCTTAGCTTTTTAAATTTATCTTGGAATATTAAAAATGTTACCTTTTGTAAGAGAGTTAAAGATGCTTAGAGAAGGTTCTGAATACATTTAGTACCCATGCTATACCCATCATTCTAATCTGGCTTGGCAACATTTACCTGTTTCTTCTTTACTAAGTTTACTTATTCTGCAAAACCACAGAACAAAAAATCTGTTCCCTTAACTTCCCCCGTGGGAAGGTGGCTAGATTTTCATAGACAACTGTGAATGTATAGAAAAACAATCCTGCAAACTTCCCAGTGATGGAATAACACTAAAATTGTTAAGCATGGTTCAGGTTTTTTGTTGTTGTTGCTGCTGCTGTTTTGCAGTTTTAGATTCTAGAAGGATGGGATTTGCTAGTATTAAGGTCACATTGAATTTCTGAGTCATTTGTGCCAATTTTTTTTTTTTCATTTCACCATTTTAGTCCTTACAAAATTATCACCAAATGAAAAAAGTTATGACTGGCCTGTCCATCCTTGTACCAGCTGAGGGAGGCGGAAGGAATTGCATAAGCTTCACATTCCAAGGTCAAAGTGTTGTTTACTTTGATTTTCACTTCTTTAGGGGAAAGGCCTGGCCCAAAAAGGTCCCCTTTATTGATTATGGGTGGAACTGTGTAAAATAAATATTAAAGAGTTAAACATCGGTTCTTCAAAACACATGGAATACAATGAAAATCACACTGAGGATCACTTAACAAGAAAACAGGAAGTAAGTAGAAGCATTTCCCATGATGATCTCTCATTAAGGGCCTAAGTTAACATCTTATGAAACAGTAGTGTTCAGATACAGGATGTGAAGGAAAGTATTTTTCTCCTTTCGTCCTTATTATACTGCCAATGAAGCTAACATCCTGTATAAAACAGTTAGTTTCATTTGCTCTAGGTCCACAGACACAGCCTATGCATGACACATAAAATATATTTTGTGGGTCATTAAGGGTACTGAGTCAAAGAACAAAAGATAATCAGAAAGATACTTTTATTTTATAAACACAAAAACAAAATGCTGAAATGTGGGTCCTATTAATGGCGATATTAGCTTTGCCTTTTATATATAGGTAAATGTACATTGGAATAGCCCAGAGTCACCGATGATCTCATCTTGGGCTGTTGATTAGAGCATATTCATCTAACAACAGTTTTGTACATGAAAGTACTATAACTCAACCCAGAGAGTAATTCAGAAGGAAAAATAGAGAAACTTAGGGAAGTGCCACTGACAAGGTCTCCAACAAGAAGATACTGAGTGGATTGAGGGAGCCCTTCACATCTTTAAGTAATTGAGGCCATGGGCACAATGCTTAATTCAACTTCCATCCCTAAGGAAGCAAGCTGCATAAACAAGAGTCTTTAATGATTGTGCATAAATAATTATGAACCCATAATGAAAAACAGGATTGAAAGAGTTAGAAACATTGGGGAAGATATGAGACATCGTGTTCTTTCAGAACTTACTGTAGACCTTCACTTCATAGTGCTTTATCATTTCCCCAGCCTCATTAGTGGCTACACAAGAGTATCTTCCAGCATTGTCCTCCTGTGCATTGAGGATCTGCAGTGTCCTACCTCCTGGAAATCACAGAATATCAAAGAGTCTCTGAAATCACAGTGGCAGCAGAGCACCCTCAAATTTTGAGGGTTTTAGTTCTTATAGGTAGCATATTTCTTCTTACATCAGCCAATTCTGTGATAGACATCTGATATAAGACAAACTACAACATGGGCACTGCAAAGCAGGTGGGGACAGCCACGGAGTCCCCAGGGGTCCTCTGTGGACTCTCACTCCCATTTCGACCCGCCATGAATCCGTACACCTCCCTAGCTAAGGTCCTAATTTCACTCTCTTCATAAATAGGTTTCTGCCTGAATCATCTAATTACTCTCACCTACCTGGCCTATCAGGCCAGATTAATTGTGCTGAAACACAGTTCTTATTATGATATCTTCCTCCTTAAAAATCTTATACTGTTCTCAATTGACTAAAATATAAAGTCAAAACTCTTTAATCCAGGCATTCAAAACATGGCTTCAATTTTCCTTCCTGACCTCACATCTTGCCCCTCCGCCCCCCACAATATCTACACTCAAGTGGGTTTGAGAAGTGTCTTTGTTATCACTTGCACATGGCTAGGCCATTCTTACTTTGTACGTTTCCCACACTAGTCACCTTAATGATCCAAAACCCCTCCTAACTCATTTCCAATCAACTAAATTCTAGAACTTTCTCTAAAGTCTGGTTCAAGTTCTGACTAAGCAACAAAGCTTTTTCTGACCACTTCAATCTGCAGTGGCCGTTTCTTCTTTTGAATTCTTATAAAGTTTTCATGACCCCATTTATCATACCCCCCTGACTATTCATAATCCATGATCATTCACAGACTCATATTGTTAATAAACTTTTGCACATATTATCTCTCCTCCACATGGGCTTGTAAATTTCTTGAAGCCAGTGATTATAACTTTTAATGCTTTCTATTTTCATATATATATATATATATTATATATATATTTTTTAAAGAGGAATAAATAAACTCTCTCAATCTAAATATTAACTCTCCTTCAAGGTTCAATTCAATGAGAAATGAATTTTTACCATTTTCAACATACCACATTATACTTTTGCAATTAATTACATTGTGGTATTTATTTATTCCTTTTTACATAGATATTTTTCTGATCTTTCAAAAAGTAATTTTCAGTACCTTAGATTATAAAGCATATACAAAAAATTAGAAATTTAAATATAAATAGAACATGACACAACCAATAACATAGGTATTATATTTTTATAAAAAGTAAACGATGACTCCGGTTTTCTACAACAGTAGATGACACAGATGCATCTTGGTAATCTTAAGTAAATTAATTACCTGGAAGAATACGAATATTTTGGTTAGATTCTAAAGGAGCTCCATCCTTAAACCAGGTGATGGTAGCTGGAGGATATGAATAAGCTTCACACACCAAAGAGGTGGGGTTGTTCAGGATAACAGTGACATCTTCATGGCTGCCGTCACTACCTACACCAGCAATTGTAGGAGATACTGAAAAAGATTAAAATTTGGTTGAAGAAATATATTTATAAATTTCTCTATTTGTGTATTTCTAAATTTCTGTTGTACTTATATGTATAATTCTATTCTCTAACAGTTACAGAAAACAATTATTGTTCTTATTCTACACAAAAGTAGTGAGATCTCTCAAAAAATTCACAAGATAATGGACGAGATGACACACAGAAAAGGAACCATAACATAGTATGGTAAGGGCAATAATGGGCATGTTGGGGGAAGGTTAGCGGAGGCACGGTATTCAGTCCAATCTGAGGTAGGGGGTGTGAAGAGTCATTAGAGAAGGCCTCCTAAAGGAGGACATGTTAAAGTGAGCCTTAAAGGATTAGTGGTAGTTAGTGGGTGAAAAGAACAGAGATTAGTAAAGAGAGGGAGTGTATTGAGAGCAGAGCAGAAGTAAGCAGTGAGGAGTGGGAAGGGAATATAGAGAAGACAAACCAAGTGGGTCAATACTGGAAGCAAGAATAAAAGAGACAGGTATATTTGTTTCATAAAAGATAATGAGGGACTGAATTAGAGCACAGAAGGAAGAGCACAAAAGAAGGGAGCAACTAAACAAAGACTTAGGACATTAATTGGCAGGACTTGATGATGGAATTTGGGAGATAAAGGAAACTGAGCTCAAAGATAATGTCCAGTTTTCTTGCTTAGGACCTTGTTAAACTGCAGTGAAGCAATGAAGTAAAAATATAGAAAGATTCATTCATTTAGGAGGGGAAGATAGTTCTTTCAGTTCTGAATATTTTGTATCTTAAGTGTCTATGAGAATTCTGGGTAGAAATGTCCAACAAGCAATTCCATATAGGAATTTGCACCTTGCAAGAAAGATCTGGGTTGCAGGTATGGATTTTCAAAGTCTTTTGTCTGTAGGAGATGATAATCAAACATCTGGGAATGAATTGTATTACTTAAAGAGAATATCTAGAGTATCAAGAATAGTGAAGTAAGTACAAATACTAGGGGACTCGTTGTTTATGAGATGGATCTAGTAAGAGGCCATAAAGGAGAGAGAAATGGAGCAACCAAAGGTGCACAAAGAAAACTAGGGAAGAACGCTAGGAGAAAGAGATCAATAATGTACAAAACGTTAAGATCATGACTGAAAAATATTTGTTGGGCCTAGCAACAGGAGAGTTCTTTCCAAAGCAGTGTCAGGAATGATGTGGGCAGAAGCCTGTTTTTAGAGGGACAGGAAGTACAGACAGGGAACGGTTAAAATATGAAGTGGTGAAGACAGTAGAAGGTGAGGCTGCCAAGTAAGGCAGACTGTGGGAATAACTGACATACCAAAGAAGGTGGAAAGACACAGGGTCAAGGCATAAGTGCAAGCAGAAACTGAGAACAAGAAGGATAACTCATTGTCTGGGAAAAGAAAGGGTAAAGGTATTGACTTTATGGCTGGGTAGATTGGAAGTTACAAACATATACACTTAGCCTCAACTTTATGAAGTTGGTGAAAAAGAAGGCTTCGATTCAGATCCCTGAGTCTTCAATGAATGAGGCATAGTGACAAGGAAATGGGTGAGTAACCAGAAAATGGTGAAGTTGAGGGGAAGGTGGTGTAGTCAGATGGCGTGACTTAGGATACCTACAATAAAGAATACGAGATCTCCATTGGAGATGGTCTCAGGGGAGCTGATGTCTCTCGGGAGGGTCAAATTTCAATCACAGCCAGGGGCTACAGAGAGTTTTAAATCAGGTTTTCAGAGAAGACAGAGGATGTGATTTTGAGATAGGTCACTATGGGGAGGTGAAGCAGTAGTGGGAAGAATAAGGCAAGAGGAACTTAGAGCTGTGAGAGAAGCAGTGAGCTAAGGGAGAGGAGAGGTAACCCAGAGGTAATCCAGGCCTGGGCATTTGCCTTTTACATACTGATTGGATGTTCAGAGATCACCGACATGTTAGGAGACAAGTGGCTCATACGTTCTCATTCATATTTATCCATGTATTCTGCTATGCAATGCTGTGTTAGGTGCTGGGGTTCCAACCTTGGGGATTTATAGTTTTGTACAATTATTCTATGTACACATATATACACACACTAGTCCTTTAATACTTACTTATACATTATCTGGTATTTTTTCTCGCACAAACATCTGAAAGCTGAGACATTATCTGGTATTCTGATTTAACTTTTGTTTTCAGATATATCTCTTCTATTCAATTAGACTGTAAGCTCCCTGAAGCCTGTGTTCTACAGGAGAAGTTCTTATGTGTGGGAGTATCTATGTACTCCACAAATAGTATAGCCAGTAACTACAAAAACAAACACTATAAAAATGTGCATACTCACGTACAGGTGAGTTGATTTTAGCAGAATTATTTTGATATTGGTAATCAAGTGCAGTACATTTAGGTGGTATATTTTACATTTCAAAAAGTGAGCAGAAATTATGAAGCTATTTTAATGTCTTTCCTGGGACATAAGCGTGACTGATGCTGCAGGAACTGAATGTACCAATATACGCAGGTATTTCATCACTCCTAGTCCACAAAGACACTAATATGGACAATTTCCAGTAATGGCAGAATTTCACAAAGAATGTATAAAATATCTCAGGTTGTGACCCATTTATTGTTTACCTGCTTCTCTTTGACCAGCATGTGTCTATCCTTTACTACGGCTTCTTTAATGTCTGTCTTGTTCACAGTTGTGTCCCTAGCACAAAGCACTGTGCCCGGTGCCTAGAACATAGTAGGTATTCTGTATGTAATGAATGAATTGATGAATTACTTAATTCAGGAAAAACAGTAAATGTACACAAGTGCTGGTCCTCCTTACATGATGAAATTCTCTAATAGAAACATTAAGTAAACAGAGAAAGAAAAGAAGAGAATTTAGCCTATAGTCACGTCTGATTTTTCAAGATTTGAAGCAAAGCTTATACTTACCAAACACGTTAAGACTGAAACTTTTGCTCTTGTCTCCAGCTGTATTAGAAGCCAAGCATGTATATCTTCCAGTGTCTGACACTTGGGCGTTGGTAATTTGAAGAAAATGGCCACCAGACGCAATGTGATGGGCTTCATCTTCTTGAACAAGCTGTCCATCTTTGTGCCAGGTGATTTTTGGTACTGGATTCCCTGTAAGAAAAGCCATTTCTGAGAGTTTGCTAATAATCACATCTACAATTGATATTGAAAGAGGGAGTTTTCACTCATTTGTCTG